TGGCAAAGTCAGAAATCTTTCCACAACGAGTGGGAAGGATTCATTGGCCCCATGGAGACAGCAGTGAAGCAGCTTGCAAGGAAATGATTTGCTTATACAATAAAACGCAGAATGACGATGGCTGGCTGCTTGACGGCCCTTAACAATTGGCTACCAGCAGTCTCTTGACCATACTTGGTTCTCCATACTTGGAGAACCGCTAACCTAGATGCTGCCACGAGGCTGGGCTCCCATCTGGGCTGAATGAACCTCCTGGGGCACTTGCTGGTGCACATGTTGACCATGGAGCGCCAGCTGCTGACTCTGCCCAGCGTGGCTCCCCGCCCGCCCGGACAGTCCCATCTAGAATGACAAACTGCCAGCTGTCAGGGCCAACAGGTAGAGATTGGCATCCTAGCATGGAAACGCCCATTCAAACGGAAGCCTGGTGTGTCTGCCCTCCAACTCACATCCCCATGGGTCCTTTAATTTTGTCTTCCAGAACGACGACAGCTTCTTAAATATCATCTACGAGGCGTACCTCTTTAGCATGACCCAGACAGCCGTGAAAAAGACCATGTGAGAAGCAAACATTTTGAACTCATATCCGAGGCCCTTCCAGGACCCAACATAAGGTTCTCCAGTGTCAGGGGGGGACCGATCACCATAACTGTTTCTGCCGTTTTGTAAAAATCCTGTACCATATGAAATAAAATGTTTCTGACTTTCTGTAGGGTCATATTTTGTGTTCAAGCACATAAGAATAAGCGAACCAGTAACTCCCTGCCACCCAGTCGATGCCAACTCATAGCAACCCTATCGGGCAGGGTAGAACCGACCACTGCGGGTTACCGAGGCTGTAACTCATCTTTCTCCACTAAGAATTCAGTGCGCAGAAAAAGGCTTGTGCCCAGGTCACATAGTAAATGGCCAGCTTAAATGCCTTTTTTTCGTACAAGTATGAAGCCATTTCTAGAAGGATTAGCCTCGCCATCAGAAGGGCTGTTCTTTTTTTTTTTTT